TGTATTTTGTCTTTTATGTTCCCCCTCTTTTTCCCCTTTGAATTGTTCACCGCCCTGAGTCCTCCCGGAGAAGGGCGGCATACAAATAATAAAATTCTATTCTATTCTATTCTACACTTGGTATGACACTTCCGAAATTTTAATTGAGATAGCCATATGATTTGATTTGAATGGCCTTTATGCTTATGCAACAGAGGTTAGCCAGTAGTCATATGCCAATTTTGTTGTTTCATGTTAGGAACATAGAAAAAATATCCTTTCTTTTATGTGGAGGAAGATTCTCTCAGCTTCTGCTTCAGAATACATGAGGAAATGTTCCATTTGTTCAAACATTCCACATATAAAACTAGACATCATCAAGAAAAGGTTTCAACTATCTGTCTTTTTAATAAACCAGATCTGAGTATTTAAAATCCTAACTCATTTCTCTTTGAAAACTAGACTGGTGTTTTTCAGGGATAATGCAAATATGTGACTAAAGAAGCCAGTCTAATTTAGAAAATAGACAGTCTCAAATAGGATACGGAAAATCCATGGATATACTAAGTAATATAATCTTTCCTATTACATGTTTATTTTCCTTTGAGAGCAAGGGATCAATACGCATAACAGCCTTTAAATGAGTAACACTGTTTTCTCTGGCCTAATATAACTTGCACTGCACCTTCGTTGTGATTTTTCATATTATTATTTTTTGCCAACAGGTAGCTGGAGGTAGGAATCTCCCTTCTGTAGTGCAGAAAGTAGCTCAAGCTTCCATTGATCAAACCCGGCAGATGAGGTACCGATCCTTGAATGAATACCGAAAGTTCTTTCTGCTGAAACCTTTCACATCATTTGAAGAACTTACTGGTAAGTCATGGGTGCAAGGAAGCAAGCATTTGTGTATCTGAAAAGTAGATCTTGTGTCCCCCCCAGTCCAATCCTTTGCATCACCAATTAAAGAAAGGGTACACAAGCTAAAAAGCTTCACTACAGATTGCCACTGAATTATAACTTTTAATCAAGAGGGAAATGCAGAGAGAGTTGCCAATACACAGCAAATACACTTTGTGGCAACTCGGGGGTTGCCACAAAGAAGAGGGAGTCAAACTATTCTCCAAGGCACCTGAGGGTAAAACAAGAAGCAATGGGTGGAAACTAATCAAGGAGAGAAGC